CTACAGGGAGGGTAACAGATCCAGGTTCTGAGCAGGAGTGGTACCGTAACGTCCTAGTGTCCGGGGTGAGTCCAAAAGGGAAGTCTAGTAGTGGTAAATGGGATGGTGGTGGCAGTGAAGCGGAGGCAGGAGTCAGGTTCCAATAATCTGTGGCACAGGAGAAATGTAAATAGAACAGGCCAAAAACACAAAGAGCGAAAACAAGCAGGTTGAATCAGCAGCGAGACTAACATGGTTGTCTTGACTATGATCTGACGATGAGTGGCAAGTTTGACCGGGTCTTTAAGGCTGAGGTGATTATGGTGAATGAGCTGCAGCTGGAACCCTGACTCCCACACACCAGACTTCACTCCTGCAATCAAGAACAGACAGAGGGGAGGGGGAGAGCAGAGAGAGAGCTACCTAGCAGCAGTAGGCCTAACAGTTTCTGTTTAAACACATAAATAGACCTACCCTAATCAATTATTTGACATATGTAATCATCAACAGAAAATCCCTTGATGAGAGTGAGAGTTCAATGAGTTCATCTGAGTGAACACAATGTTCCTGTGTTTGTGGACTTTCACCAACTTGTAAATGTTTGACATATACAATATGTTTTTGTGAAGGCTGGGGTCACCCATATACAAAACATTTATGCACGCATGACTGTAAGTGACTTTGGATAAAAGTGTCTGCTAAATGGCATATATTGTTATTATTTAAGGCTATGAGGTTGTCCATTTCAGCTGTACTATATCAGAATGTATATCTGAGTCCAACTTAACTGGTGTTAAAGTAACAGTTTTGAAAGTGTAAGAAAATAAACTCTGTAGCAAATGTTAACAATCAACTCCATCAGACTACATTTTTACTCCAGCAGTTTATTATATTTTAACAGTGTAGGGTGTAAAGCCTTATTTGTATATTTACCAGTGTGCCTTTTGAGGGAATGATCGAGTTAACACCCATGACTGTGTTTGTTAGTGACAGAGGTTGTTGCATTCGTTCATTCACTTCCAGTCCTGTAGCCTTCACGAAGTGAGTGCCTAAGTGTTATTGTTGAATTAAGATTAAACCCTTTATGACAATACATTACATATATCATATGGCCTTTCTTTGTTGCCCTAGTTTCTCCCTTACACAGTGGTCTGAAATTCTTGGCTCGCAAGCCACATCAGGCCTGCAAATCACATTATGCTGGCTGGCAAAGTATGTATCTTTCTGTAGCATAAGATCAATCAATCAATGTACATGCAAAAACACAGATATTGAAACAAACACTTCTAAACATCATTCTGCAATAGAGCACGTGGGAAATATTATAAAGATGGGTGATGTTTTGAGTTTTTTTACCCTAGTAAAGAAATGTGTTAACACTGTGAATTTAACACTTACAGTAAATGTTTGCAGTGTAGGATTGAATCACAAAATGCACAACCATCTGGAAAAACTTGACAACAAATATATAACACACTAATTTATACATTAGCATTTTATTATATTGGCTTCAATTCAACATTATACATTTTCATGATTTAAAGATGCACTATGCAGAAATCGCTCTGCCATTTCCTGGTTGCTAAAATTGTAATAGTTTGCCTCAGTTTATGTGACAAAACAAGCAAGTATAGTGTAGAAAATCATTGTACCATCTAAACCACTGTGAAACATATTTTCCATAACCAAAAATATTGTATTTTCAGCTGTTTGAAGCTTGTGTACAAAACCGAAAGTAAAAGACACAAAAACGAAACTTAAAACATGGGAAGCATAGAAATAGCAAACACATAACAGATCTAACGCTTCTTAGACTTGCTTTCAATGAGAATGACAGATCTATAACTCACATATCTATGTGAATTTTGCTGGTTCGCTCAACAAGTTACATATTGCAGCTTTATTTTATACATATTCTATTATTTGTGTGTACCAGAATGTGGAGAATTGGATATGCTCATTCACTTTTAATCTTTCTTTTCAAGCATTTTCTAACACATAAATATCTGACTATTGCTACAAGAAGAAGAAGAAGCACTGACACAACAGCCAACAATATCAGGACAACATCTACAGAGTGGTAGGAGTACCAGGGCATTCTGTAGGACTCTGTACGCAGGTGAGCAGAACCTTTGTGTCTCATGACAAACTCAATCCAGAAGAGAGCAGTGTCCAGGGGCTCCATTGGCACGTCCCTGTGTAGCCTGGAGAGTCTCTGCATGTTCATCCTGTAGGACGGCTCATCCAGAACTTCCTGTAAGGCCTCTAGGAAGTTATTGTTCTTGTCTACTGTTGCCAAAGATAAAAGTTTTGCTCCTCCTCTCTCTTTCAGACGAAGGAGGTTGTCATATTGATCAGAAAACAGAGGTAGACCCACAACAGGAATTCCATGGTAAATAGCCTCATAAAGTCCATTTGTTCCTCCGTGAGCTACAAACAGCTTTGTTTTCGGGTGTCCTAACAGATCATTCTGAGGCATCCAGTCAACTAGTAAGGTGTTGTTGCCCAGAGTAGCTGGCCTGTCTCCTTTGTGTCTCCAGATGACCTTCTGAGGCAGTTGGGCAAAAGCAGCAGCAATCACATCAGCTATATCATGTGGAAACTCAGTGACAAAAGTCCCCAAAGACATGATAATGACTCCATGCTCCCCAGAACTCTGAGCAAACTCCTCCAGTTCTTGGGGAAGAGGCTTGGCAGGTTTACATTGGAACCCTCCCATATAGATAACATTAGGCATGGTGGGACGAGGGAATTCAAACACAAAGTCAACTCTCATGAGCCAAAGATCAGCCCCCTGTAATAACTCATAGAAGTCCACACCTGTTTGGAAAATCTCATTACAAACAGCCTGGTAATGTGGCCGGATTACAAATATGTCCTGAACTTCCCAAAGCAAATAGAAAAGCATATTCTTTACTCTCTCTGTGAAAGTCATATAGTGTGAGAGCCCTGATCCAGTCATCGGTATATAAGACATGGGGGATGGCGCAATGGCTAAATGTCCCTCTCCACTGGTTATCCACCGTACATTGTAGACTAGAGGTAGCTGAAGATAGTGAGCCACCAAAATACCAGTCCCCCATGCTGGGTCAGTAAGCACCAGGTCATACTGGCTCTCCTTTAGGGTCTTCATTAAATCCTTGTCTTTCAATACAGCAGTTGCGAAGTCACATTCCAGTCCATGAACCTTAGACATTGCAGAGAACATCTCAATTTGCAAATGTATAAAGTTTAATACAGAGCTCGTTCCTCTCTCTATATCAATTACTTTCTTTATGATTGGCTTTACAAATTCCTCAAATTCCACACCATCAGTGACAGGTATTGTAATAGAACTGTATTGTAGAGACTCTTCTTTAATATACCAACTTTTAGTTGTTCGTACCACTGTGACGGTGTGTCCCTGAGAGTGAAGAGCCTTGATCAGAATGTCCATGTTCACCCAGTGACTCCCTTCTAAGGGAAATACCAGAATTTTCCCACCATCGCAGATTCTCCAAGAAGCAACCAATAAAGATATAAGAAGGCATGAGTTTATGCTTCCATTGTGGCTTGCCATCTTTCATCTGAATGATAGGAGAAATCAGAAGGCAGGTTGAACAGAATGCAAAACAACAATTCTTGTTGTTGTATCAGGTGGACTCGGACTGACTTAAGTCCCCAACTAAGTCCCCCAGCTTCTAACAGACTAACAGACTTAAAAGCTAATCTCAAGACACCTTTGTAATGCAAAGAGCTTTAGAAGCTGGAAAGTAGGTACATTAATTCACTGTAACAATGATTTGTCTGCTAACTTACCTGTATCCCACAAGCCAAACAGTTGTAGTTTTTGCTCATACAAGAGCATTCACAGCTGAATTCTTCAGTGAAGCTTATTCAAGCGGTTAATAATTAAGCTCTTGCTTGATCTTGTTATGTAATACTGCTTTTCTGAGAATGTAGCCACTGTTTGAAAAACAGGTATTTTATTTTGTATTTACCAACCTAGGGCCCAGTTAACTAAGTTTTGGCCATTATTTTTCAGAGTTAATTTTTACATTTACATTTAAGTCATTTAGCAGGCGCTCTTATCCAGAGTGACTTACAGTTAGTGAGTGCATACATTATTTTTTATATTTTTCATACTTCCCCGTGGGAATCAAACCCACAACCCTGGCGTTGCAAACGCCATGCTCTACCAACTGAGCTACATCCCTGCCGGCCATTCCCTCCCCTACCCTGGACGACGCTGGGACAATTGTGCGCCGCCCCATGGGTCTCCCGGTCGCGGCCGGCTACGACAGAGCCTGGATTCAAACCAGGATCTCTAGTGGCACAGCTGGCACTGCGATGCAGTGCCTTAGACCACTGCGCCACTCGGGAAACATTTAAAAGAGTAATGTAAGGGTAATATAAATATAATGGTAATGTCGACTTTACTTTTTATATTTAAGGGGTCATATAAAAGGGTAAAGGTATTGTACACTTATTTACAAAGGGGTGGATTCAAAGTTATTTATTAACACCTGTTAATTATTAGCTAGTCTCATGTGGCCAGCCTTCCAAAATCCTGTTTCGTTAACTTTGAGAAGCCTGTTTTTCCGAGGCTAATTATTGGCCTAGTTTATATATAGAGTGCATGTCAAACTTTATTTGTCATGTCAAACAAGGACACATGATGACTTGAACATGCATTCTTGCAGTTAAAGGATAATACTGTTTTATACTTAACCAAGAAAGACAGTAACCTGGATAATTGTATTCATTGATGTACTTTACTTTGTGAGATATGCCTATAGGGAGGTATCCTCCTTTCAGAATATAAAACAATTGTATATTAATTTAATCTATCAACAGATACAGCAACGTAGAGACAATAATCCCTCATTCATATAAACAAATCAAGAATCATGATGGAACTAGAATCCATTGCAATTATAACTGGTCACCCACACCCACATGTGAGTAAGTGTCTCTGCCTCTGCACTGACTGTAGTGTCTCTGAATTTGGTGTGCTCAGTGCACTTAGTCTCAGCTTAGTCTTATCCGCTGCTGCCTGCATGGTTGGGGACGATGATGTTGGCCCATTTGTAGATGACAGGGATGAAGAGTAGAGCAGAGCCCAGAACTGAGACCAGGAGGAAGGTCCACAGGAACACACGGTCCAGAACCTGAGCCACAAACTTCCAGTCCTGCACCACCTGGAGAGAGAGACCAAACATGCCCTTCAGACTCCAACACATGACCTTGTTGACACAGGGTGGGAGGGCTTTGCACACAGAGGTGCAGTTGCGTGTGACAATCAGAGGATGGAGACAAATATACAGTATGGAGAAGATGAATATATAGAGAGAATTACAATAAGACTTCAAAAACCTAAATTCAGTACTTTAGGATTGATTTTGAATTGTGTTCAAATCATAACAAACAAACACAATATTCTCTCATGCCAACTTTGGCATTTATACTGCAGGGGCAGATTGATTCTCTGTAACTCTATGGGATCTTACCTCTCTGACCTCGTTCTCCTTGACCACATGCATGGTGATGTAGCGGATAGAGTCCAAAGCAGCCTGCAGGTTATTCCTAGAGGAGAGATGAGGGGTGGACTCTGGTGAAGAGCCCTTCATAATGCCCCCAACTGCCCCCTCTCGCCCTGCCAGTCCTGCACACTCTCTCCCTGCCAGTCCTGCCCTGGCCCCGCCAGGGTTAGCATAGCGGTCCACATGGCTGTGCATACACAGCAGCTTGGGCAGCCTGTGCAGGAAGATACGGCGCACCCAGGGCGCCATGCCATGGTGCGTGGACGAGGAGCGGTGGTGGATGTTGATGGCGAAGACGGTGATGACGATGGAGAGCGTGACAAAGATCATGGTGAACACCAGGTACTCCCCGATCAGAGGGATGACCTTGGAGGAGGACGGAATGATCTCCTCGATCACGAGAAGGAAGACGGTGAGGGACACCAGCACAGAGGTGCACAGGGAGATCTTCTCCCCGCCATTGGAGGGAAGGTAGAAGACCAGGATGGTGAGGAAGGAAAGGCCAATACAGGGGATAATGAGGAACAGGGTGTAGAAGAGCGGCAGTCTACGGATGATAAAGGAGTAGGTGATGAAGGGGAAGTAGCAGGATCCGTCCATCCTCAGACCACGGCTACCTGTCGCTTTCACTATCTCCCATTCACCATTGTCAAAGTAGTCCCTCTTGTCCACATGGAAGTCCTCCAGGAGGATGTCAACCTGTTGAGTAAATATAAGGTTAGAAAAGACTAAACATCAACAGACGTATCTCCCCTTTAACTCCCTAAAGTATAAACAAGAGATTCACGCATTTCTGACATCAGTTAAAGACTGTATGGTCATTAATATACTGTAGACTGTTTTACAATGCTGTGTAGGCTACAACCTGTGAGCCATCATAGGTCCAGGAGCCAAACTTCATGGAGCAGTTCTGCAGGTCAAAGGGGAAGAAGGTGACATCGATGATGCAGGCTGACTTGTAGTTAGCGGGCTGTGTCCAGGTGATGGTGCCATCGTACTTGACCACAGCCTTGGTGACAGAGCCCTCAAAACGTCCATCGGCACTGTTAGAGGAAAAGATAAACATCTGTTTTTCTTCTACAGGTTTGAATCAGGATTTGCTTGACGTGTTGGATTAATTGAATCTGTGCTGTTCAAAATATAGTCTACAGTGAGGGAAAAAAGTATTTGATCCCCTGCTGATTTTGTATGTTTGCCCACTGACAAAGAAATTATCAGTCTATAATTTTAATGGTAGGTTTATTTGAACAGTGAGAGACAGAATAACAACAAAAAAATCCAGAAAAACGCATGTCAAAAATGTTATAAATTGATTTGCATTTTAATGAGGGAAATAAGTATTTGACCCCCTCTCAATCAGAAAGATTTCTGGCTCCCAGGTGTCTTTTATACAGGTAACGAGCTGAGATTAGGAGCACACTCTTAAAGGGAGTGCTCCTAATCTCAGCTTGTTACCTGTATAAAAGACACCTGTCCACAGAAGCAATCAATCAATCAGATTCCAAACTCTCCACCATGGCCAAGACCAAAGAGCTCTCCAAGGATGTCAGGGACAAGATTGTAGATCTACACAAGGCTGGAATTGGCTACAAGACCATCGCCAAGCAAAAGAACTGTCAATCTCCCTCGGCCTGGGGCTCCATGCAAGATCTCACCTCGTGGAGTTGCAATGGTCATGAGAACGGTGAGGAATCAGCCCAGAACTACACGGGAGGATCTTGTCAATGATCTCAAGGCAGCTGGGACCATAGTCACCAAGAAAACAATTGGTAACACACTACGCCGTGAAGGACTGAAATCCTGCAGCACCCACAAGGTCCCCCTGCTCAAGAAAGCACATATACAGGCCTGTCTGAAGTTTACCAATGAACATCTGAATGATTCAGAGGAGAACTGGGTGAAAGTGTTGTGGTCAGATGAGACCAAAATCGAGCTCTTTGCCATCAACTCAACTCACCGTGTTTGGAGGAGGAGGAGGAATGCTGCCTATGACCCCAAGAACAACATCCCCACCGTCAAACATGGAGGTGGAAACGTTATGCTTTGGGGGTGTTTTTCTGCTAAGGGGACAGGACAACTTCACCGCATCAAAGGGACGATGGACGGGGCCATGTACCGTCAAATCTTGGGTGAGAACCTCCTTCCCTCAGCCAGGGCATTGAAAATGGGTCGTGGATGGGTATTCCAGCATGACAATGACCCAAAACACACGGCCAAGGCAACAAAGGAGTGGCTCAAGAAGAAGCACATTAAGGTCCTGGAGTGGCCTAGCCAGTCTCCAGACCTTAATCCCTTAGAAAATCTGTGGAGGGAGCTGAAGGTTCGAGTTGCCAAACGTCAGCCTCGAAACCTTAATGACTTGGAGAAGATCTGCAAAGAGGAGTGGGACAAAATCCCTCCTGGGATGTGTGCAAACCTGGTGGCCAACTACAAGAAACATCTGACCTCTGTGATTGCCAACAAGGGTTTTGCCACCAAGTACTAAGTCATGTTTTGCAGAGGGGTCAAATACTTATTTCCCTCATTAAAATGCAAATCAATTTATAACATTTTTGACATGCGTTTTTCTGGATTTTTTTGTTGTTATTCTGTCTCTCACTGTTCAAATAAACCTACCATTAAAATTATAGACTGATCATGTCTTTTGTCAGTGGGCAAACGTACAAAATCAGCAGGGGATCAAATACTTTTTTCCCTCACTGTATGCTGTGTGGGATTGCAAAGCTACCAGTAATTTTCCAAAGTTACCGGAATCTTCAGTAATTTTGGTAATTAACAGAAAATATATGACAATCTATCGTAACTTTGGTAATTTATACTTGAAAACATTTATTTTTAATGAATATATCGTATTCATTTATTATATATGTGTCCATATTGTCCATGAGTTTCAAGTAGATAGACCATATGGTTAAGAGAAAATAGCCTAATTAATTAAAAAAGCATTTAATCAACAATGGCATTATTTTCAATTAACTCTGCAACTCTTCCAACTATTTACTTTTTTCACAACTGCCACCAGTTTGACGCCAAAACATTGACAACAAAGACATATTGACATAGTAAACATTTTTGGTTTAGCATCTTATTGAATTATTTCAGATATTTTATGTGATGAGGCCACTGCATTTACACAATTCAGATATTTTTTCATTAATTGGTCTTTTGAACAATCAGATCAACTCTGAAAAAGATCTGATGTGAAAAGATCTGATGTGATTGGTCAAAGAAATCTGAATTGCGCTGCATGTGTAAAAGCAGCCACAGAGGGTCAGATTGTTACAGACACCTGTGATAATCTGAAATACCCAAAAGGGCCACTAGATGTCTGGTGATAGATTACATAAAATCCCTGAAAGATACCAAAATTCTGGTAGTTTACTGGTAAACTTAGAATGTTTCCAGTAATATACAGTGCTTGACTTGGGATGGAACGAGTGCAGGAGCTGTATTTTTTCCAAGTCGGTCCATTAGACATTATACTATAGAGACCTCTGATTATTCACTGTTAATTGTTTAAACACATTTTCCATTACTTCTCCATGACTTTTAGCACATTTTCATGACTATTATTATAGCCTACATGAAAAAGTAAGCATTATTGACACTGGAAAGCTGCTGTGTCTGATTCCATGTAGACCTACCACCTCCTGCCGTTTTGCCCTTGATCAAGGTACTTAGCCCCCCACATAGAGATGCACTGTTAGTCACATGTTATCATGATCAAGGCACATAGCCCCCCACATAGAGATGCACTGTTAGTCACATGTTGTCAATATGTGGTCAACCCTCCATCTGGAGAGCTCCTGGGTGTGCAGGCTTGGCTTTTCAACATTACAACCAAATGCTTTTGTCTTTATAAAATTATTCCCTCATTCAATAAGTCAGGGATCAAATGGATAAGGTAGTCTACTTCAAAGCAAGGTATCTAACTAGACATGTTTATATATATGGCTAAAATATTCATGTTCAGGGGAGATCTATGCACAGCAAGTTATTTGTCAATAAGGCTATTCTTAGAATATTTTTTAACGTTGTCGCAATTACATGGCTACTGTTTAATAGAGGGGAATCCCAGCTTTCTAAAGGTGCACATTTATTTAGGCTCTACAGTGCCCGTGGAAAGGCAACAATGAAATTAATGCTTAGTTTGTTTGTTAACTAGCGAGATAACTGCTACAAGTTATATTTTGAATTGGTGATCTAGTTAGTCTGTAATTCTTTTATACCTGCTGCTGAAATGTCGCGCTCTCTTTCCTCCGGCAACGGCCCACTCGCACTGGCACACACGCAGCACCACAGACATGCGCTAAAGGGTCATTCCCATAATGGCTGATATGTAGTTTTTTAATTGATTGACTATATTTAAAAGTGTGCTTTCATGAATTACATTTACAACAATTATTAAACTAATTTCCATAACTTTTCATGACCTTACAAACCCTAATTTGACAATTTGTAAGAGGCATCATGCCATTCCGGCTGGCACGTTTTCAATCTGCGCAATCTCGAACAGCCTATACTGTCACTCACAGATTCAGAGACTGAGTGCAAATTAACTTGAACAAAACAGAATTAGGAAATGAATGCCCACTCGCCATTGCTATTCAATGAAGATGCCAACTTCATTCTGCTTTGATCAAACTTTTTTGCCTTGGTGTGTGAGTCTGGGCCAACAAAAGGCTACATTGTTTTTATATAGGGGCTGGTACCTAATTCCCAACAAATTTGAAGTGCTGGTAAGGCGTGCTAGTATGGCGTTCCGGACAGCTACGGCCCAAGTCAAGACTAGTAATATACCCTCCATTTGCAACCCTAATGCGGAGATTATAGTGCTCAGAAAGCTTTAGTTCAATATCAGTGCCATCTTTTGCTCTAAACTGTTGGCAGTGATGGGCATGGTACATACTTGTCATAGAGCACAATGTCTGGGATCCAGATGGAGTCTGACGGGACTCTGATGGTAGTGATGCCCAGGTAGTCATCAAGGTTCCAGCGTAGCTTCATGTCCAACCATTCCTAAACAGGAGAGCAAGAGAGGGATGAGTCACCTTCACCATCTTTCATTAATGGTCATCTCTTTTTACAAGACTGTTGCTGGAGCACACCATAAATTACTTTTCTCCTCCTGAGAGAAAATTGATTCCACTACTCTATACACTGAGTGTACAAAACATTATGAACACCTGCTCTTTCCATGACATAGACCAGGGTTCTTCAAAGTTTTTCACACTCAACAGTTTCCTATGTGTATCAAGAATGGTCCACCACTTAAAGGACATCCAGCCAACTTGACACAACTGTGGGAAGCATTGGAGTCAACATGGGCCAGCATCCCTGTGGAACACTTTCGACACCTTGTAGAGTCCATGCCCCGACGAATTGAGGCTGTTTTGAGGGCAAAAAGGGGTGCAACTCAATATTAGGAAGGCATTCTTAATGTTTTGTACACTCATTGTTCACTAGTAGTAGCAGGGTCGGGGTCAATTCCATTTCAACAAAGTCAATTCAAGATTGAAACTGAAATTCTAATTTTTTACTCATAGAGAAGCATAAAGTAGAATTGGAATTAGATTTGGAATTTCCGTTTACTTCCTAAATTGACTGAATTGAAATGGAATTGACACCAACCCTGGTAGTGAGAATAGTAGAGCCAATGATGGATTTCTCTATTCCGCTTTGAGTTACTATTGCTGTACAACTTCATATTACAATCTTTCTGTGTTCTCAGTGCTAACAGTCCTTTAGCAGATGCTCTTATCCAGAGCGACTTACATTAGTGCATTCATCTTAAGACAGTTAGGTGAAACAACAACGGGGGTGTAATTTGCATCGACACATGGTGGATATAAACATTTATGGTCTAATAAAGTAGATAGTGGGAGAGAAGCACTGACGTGGACAGAGCCATATTTTCAACCTTATCTCCTCATTCACCGCTGATGAATAGATGTGGCCATGTTAGCTATTGCTCTCCGTCCTCTGATTTGCATCGAGTTGTTTGTCATTGTGGCAGACTAGGGAGAGGCTGACCTGCAGACCCTGGTCTGGAGGGATGATTCCCTGGCTGTAGAGAACAGATGCAGTCAGAGGATATGAATGAAGCTGTCAGGGTGGCTGGGGGCTAGGCAGGCTGCTGGGGGGCGAGAGCTGCAAAGGGGGTGGCTCGTGTGGGCACAAGGGAAGGTGGAGGAGGGTGGGGAGAAATTAAGATGTGAGCTCATCGTGAAATGCCATAAGAACAAGGGGACATGCAGGGGGACGGGAGGTTGATTGTTACTCTAAATGCCATGTTGCCTTTGTTGGTCTAGCTGACGCTGCTGTAGAGCAGGGGTTCCCAACCTTTTTTGGTTACTGTACTCCCAAATGAATTTTGCTCCGCCTGGAGTACCCCTGAAGTACCCGCTTATGAGCATTTTACCAGTAACCCTATGGACTTATGAGTCTTTTCAAGTACCCCCTCTGGATAGGCCAAGTATCCCCAGGGGTCCTAGTACCCCTGGTTGGGAACCACTGCTGTAGAGTGTTGTGAATTATACAACGGCTGGGTCTAATCCTTGACACTGATTGGTTAAAACTGCATTCCAGCCGATGTCTATTCCACAAGTTACCACCGGCTAAAGCCATGACATTGAAATGCCTATTTACACTGTTCCATCTCACTGCGCAATCCACTGTCTCATCAGCCCAGCCAGACAATTTATAAACTTGACCTCCACTGTAAAAAGCATCTAGACATTATCTTTTAGACTAGCAATTGGTTTTCAATAGTGGAGATTTGTATAAACCTTGCTGTCTGTCTATCTGACATTTGTAACACTGTTTCAATATTGAAATTTGATCTCCAGCTATCCCATAGTAATGAACTTGTAGGGGTCGCGAGTCGGGACAAGACAGACAGGCAGGCAGCTTTTCTCAGCCAGTCGAAATCATGAATCAGCATAATTTGTATGGATTTATACTGTACAAAGAAATGTCAATAGAAAACAGGTAAACGAAATCAAGTGCAGCTAGTTTGCAGTCTTTCCAGCTTCAGTTTGAAGTGATTCTGTTAGCTGTGTTGTTGGCTAGCTCCTCTGAACAACAGTGTCCTGACGAGAGAGCACATTTTCTATGGCAGGTGAAATCGCACATCATTAGCTCATTGTTATGGATGTATCCAAATAAATGTCACTAGAAAACAGCTTAAACAAATGCAGATGTAGCTACTTTGTTGTTATTCTGGCTGCACTGTTTGACGTGACTGTAAATTAGCCATAGTTGGCTAACTAGCAAGCAAGAACGTTGACAGCCAGTATGGCAATATAACATTTAGAACGATACAGAACAAAAATATTTAAATACTGTGTCACATCTCTGGGAACCGAACCGATAGAACGTAACAACCCTTGATTTGTTTCGGGCCTATATCTTGTGTAAGGATGAAATAGTATGAATAAATGTATCAAAATAACGTTTTTAATGAAAATATGTAAGTCATTATTTAAATATGGTAACCCATTGTATAATAGTGATAATGCCCTCGAAGCCTGTGTATGGAGGATATATTGGCATGGTTTGCCAGTACCAATATATCCTCCAAACACCAGCTTCTCAGGCATTATCACTTAAATATACTATGCCCCCCCCAAATATGTTTAAGATCTTGCCTGTTTCATCCACACATTGGTTGTCATCAGCTGGTTCTTCTCGTCCTGTAATGGAGAGACCATACTGTAAAGGTTTTATCAGTACCTTTGTGTTGTTATACTGTCAGTATGTGTGTAAATGTGGTACAGAGCAAACAACATAATGTAAATTAGCCTAAATATATGTATAGTGATATATTTTTTGCAGTGGTGTAATGTACTTAAATAAAACATACTTTAAACTACTTAAGTTGTTTTTGGGGTATCTGTACTTTACTGTTTATATTTTTGATTATATTTTTCTGCAGTTTATTATGACAATAACTACATGTTAAAATTTTTTAACCAAATTTTTAATTGGGGGGGGGGAAGATTTTAATTTAATGGGGGAAAAGTTTTTAAAAAAATAAGGGCCCTTCCCCCCAAAATAAAACCCCACCGTAAAAAAATTTCCCCCGACTTTTAAAGGGGGATTTTAAAAATTTTAAAAGGGGGGTTGTTAAAAATTTTAAAAAACAAAAACCAAAAAAATTCGTTTTTAAATTTTTTGGGGAAACCAAAAACACCCTAGGAACTTGGCATTTATATGCGGGGGCCCCAGATTGATTCTTGAAACTTTATGGGATCTTCCCTTCTGACCGTTCTCCTTGACCCATGAATGGTGATGAGGGGGTTTAAGGGGCCAAAGCAGATTGCAGGTTTTTCCCAAGAGGAGAGATGAGGGGTGGATCTGGTAAAGAGCCCTTCTAATGCCCCAACTGCCCCCTTGGGCCCTGCCAGTCCTGCACATCTCTCCCTGACAGCCCTGCCCTGGCCCCCCAGGGTTAGCATAGCGGCCCAACATGGTGGAATACAAAAACCCGTTTGGGAAGCCTGTGCAGGAAAGATACGGCGAAACCCGGGGGGTTGCCATGGGGGGCTGGGACGAGGACGGGGGGGGTTGTTGAGGCAAAGACGGGGGGAATTGGGCCCGGGGGGGAAAAGGGGAAACAAAGAATCGGGGGGGTGAAAAACCGGGGAAAACCCCCCCGATAAAGAGGGATGCCCTTGGGGGGGAAAGGGGAATGATCCCTGGGAGAAAACAAAGAAAGGAAGACGGGGGGGGACACCAGCACGGGAGGTGAACGGGGAAAACCCTTCCCTCCCCCCCCTTGGGAGGGAAGGTAAAAGACCGGAAAAATTGGTGAGGAAAAAAGGGGGGCCAAAAATTACAGGGGGAAAAATGGGGGGAAAAGGGGTTTTGTAAAAGAGGGGAAAGTCTCCGGAAAATAAAGGGGAAGTGGGGTGATAAAAGGGGAAGAAAGCAGGATCCGTCCACCCTCAGACCAGGGGAACCGGGTCGCTTTCCACAAATTTCCCTTCACCATTGTCAAAAAGTGGGCCCCCTTCTTGTCCACATGGAAGTCCCCCAGGGAGGTGTCAACCTTTTGGGGTAAATAAAAGGGTTAAAAAAGGGACCAAAAACATAACAGACGTTTTCCCCCCTTTAACTCCCAAAAAGTAAAAACAAGGGGTTTAAAGGCATTTTGAATCATTTTTAAAGGGAAATGTTTTGGTCATTAATATCTGAAAACTTTTTTACAATGCTGTGTGGGGCTAAAAAACCTGTGAGCCATAATAGGTCCCAGGACCCAAAAATTTCATGGAGCAGTTCTGCGGGTCAAAGGGGAAAAAAGGGTTGACATCGTGATGCGGGCTGACTTGTAGTTAGGGGGGCGTGCCCAAAGGTTTGATGGTGCCATCGTACTTGCCCCACACCCTTGGGTGACAGACCCCTTAAAAACTTTCCATGGGGCACGTTTAGGGGAAAAAAGAAAAAAACATCTGTTTTTTTTAAGGTTTAAATCAGGATTTGCTTGACGTGTTGGATTAATTGAATCTTTTGCTTTTAAAAAATTAGTCAAAATGGGGGAAAAAAGTTTTGTTTCCCCTGTGTTTTTGTATGTTGCCCATGACAAAAAAAAATTATAAAGTCTATAATTTAATGGTGGGGTTATTTAAACCAGTGAGGGGAAAGGAATAAAAAACAAAAAAAACCCAAAAAAAAAAGATGTCAAAAATTTTTTAAAAATTGATTTGCTTTTTTAATGGGGGAAAATTTAAGTTTTTGCCCCCCCTCTCAATCAGAAAGTTTTTTTGGCTCCCAGGTGTCTTTTATACAGGTAACGAGTTTAAAGATTAGGAGCACATTTTAAAAGGGGAGTGCCCTAATTTTCAGGGTTACCGGTATAAAAAAACCCCGTCCCCGAAGCAATTCAATAAATTTTCAGATTCCAAATCTCCCCCAGGGGCCAACCAAAGAGCTCTCCAAGGAGTCAGGGAAAAGATTGTAAAATTACAAAAAGGTTTAAATTTTGGCTAAAAAGACCCTCCCCCAAACCAAAAAAAAATGTAATCTCCCTGGGCCCCGGGGTCCATGCAAGATCTCCCTCGTGGGTTGCAATGGTCATGGGGAAGGGGAGGAATCAGCCCAGAAAAAACACGGGGGGGATCTTGTCAATGATCTCAAGGCGGGGAGGGCCATAGTCCCCAAGAAAAAAAAAGGGTTCCCCCACCCTACGCCGTGAAGGAAAATGAAACCCTGCAGACCCAAAAGGCCCCTGCTAAAGAAAGCACATTTTAACGGGGCCGGTCTAAAGTTCCCAAGAACTTTTGAAGGGATAGGGGGGCCGGGTAAAAGTTTTGTGGTCAGAGGGAGACCAAAAATCGAGCTCTTTGCCTCAACTCAACTCCCCGTTTTTGGGAGGAGGAGGAGGAATGTGCCTATGACCCCAAGAAAAACATCCCCACCTTTCAAACATGGAGGGGGGAAAAGGGTTATGTTTTGGGGGGGGTTTTTTGTAGGGACGGAAAAACTTCCCCCGCATAAAAGGGGGGACGTGGAGGGGGGCCATGTACCGTAAAACTTGGGTGAAAACCCCCTTTCCCTCACCCAAAGGGCTTTAAAATGGGTCGGGATGGGTTTTCCACCCATGAAAATCCCCAAAAAACCCCGGGCCCAAGGCAACAAAGGAGTGGCTCAAGAAGAAGCACTTTAAAGGTCGGGAAATTGGCCCTAGCCGTCTCCAGAAATTAAATCCCTTAGAAAATCTGTGGAGGGAGCTAAAGGGTTCGAGTTGCCAAACGTCAGCCTCAAAACCCCTTTAAAATGACTTGGAGAATTTTGAAAAGAGGAGGGGGAAAAATCCCCCCCGGGATGTGTGCAAACTGGTGGCCAACTACAAAAAACATCGGGCCCTCTGGGATTGCCAAAAAGGGGTTTGCCCCCAATTTACAAGTAATGTTTTGCGGGGGGTAAAATTTACTTTTTTCCCTTTCCTTAAAATCCCAAATCAATTTATAACATTTTTGCATGCTTTTTTTGGGATTTTTTTTTGTTATTCTGTCTCTCCTGTTAAAAAAACCCTACCTTTTAAAAATTAAATTAGATTGATCAGGTTTTTGTCAGTGGGAAAAACTTTAAAAAAAATCGCAGGGGATAAAATTTAATTTTTTCCCTCACTTTTGGGGTGTGGGATTCCCAAAGCAAACCATAATTTTCAAAGTTCCCGGGAATCTTCAGTAATTTTTGGAATTAACAAAAAAAATAATGAAAATCTATGAAAATTTTGGTAATTTATACTTGAAAACTTTTATTTTTAATAAATATCTTTTCATTTTTATATGTGTCCATTTTGGGCCATGATTTTTCAATTTAGATAGCCCATAGGGTTTTAAGAGAAAAAAGCCTAATTAAATTTAAAAAAAGCTTTTAATAAAAATTTGGCATTTTTTTCAATTAATCTGAAAATCTTCCAATTTTTATTTTTTTCAAAAACTGCCAATTTTGACCCCAAAAAAAGGGAAAACAAAGCCCATATTGACATATAACTTTTTTGGTTTACCCATCTTATTGAATTTTTTCAGTTTTTTTATGTGATGAGGCCACTGCTTTTTCCCCTTTCAGATTTTTTTTTTAATGGTTTTTTGAAAATCAGAAAAAACTCTGAAAAAATCTGATGTAAAAAAGATTTTGATGTGATGGTCAAAGAAATCTAAATTTTGCGCTGCATGTGAAAAAGAGCCACAGGGGTCAGATTTTTACGGACACCTGTGATAATTAAAAATCCCCAAAAGGGCCACTAGAGTCTGGTGATAGTTTAAAAAAAAACCCCCAAAAAGATACCAAAATTCTGGGGGAAAATGGAAACTTAGAATTTTTCCCAGTAAAAACCAGGGGCTTGATTGGGATGGAACGAGGAGCTGTTTTTTTTCCAAAAGTCGGTCCATTAGACATTTACTATAGAAAACCTCTGTTTATTCCTGTTAAGGGTTTAAACACTTTTTCCTTTTACTTCTCCATGACTTTTAGCACTTTTTAGACTATTTTTTTATAGCCTAAATAAAAAAAAGGTAAGCTTTTTTGAACTGGAAAGCTGCTGTGTCGGGTCCATGTAAAACCTCCCAACCTCCTCCCTTTTTCCCCTTGAAAGGTACTTGCCCCCCACATAGGGGATGAACTGTTATTTAACATGTTTCTTGATAAGGAAATTTAAGCCCCCAAATAGAGATGCACTTTTGGTCACATGGGGTTCAATATGTGGTAAAACCCTCCTTGGAGAGCTGGGGGGGTGGCAGGCTTGGTTTTTCAACATTAAACAAAACCCTTTTGTTTTTATAAAATTTTTTCCCCTTTAATTAAAAAAGTCAGGGTTCAAAGGTTTAAGGGAGTCTACTTCAAAGCAAGGATCAAAACAAAGACTTTATATATATGGCTAAAATATTATGTTGGGGGAGATCTACCCACGAAAAGTTTTTGGGTCAAAAAGGCTTTTTTTAAAATTTTTTTAAACGTTGTGGGAAATTTACTGGTACTGTTTAATAGGGGGGAAAATCCCAGCTTTCTAAAGGGAAAATTTTATTAGGCTCTACAGTGCCCGGGGGAAAGGCAACAATAAAATTTTAATGCTTAGTTTGTTTGTTAACTGCGGATAACTGTACAAGTTATTTTAAATTTGGTGATCTAGTTTCGGGAATTTTTTACCTCTGCTGAAATGTCCCCGCTCTCTTTCCTCCGGAAAGGGCCCCACTGCACGGGCCCACACGCAGCACCCCCGACATGCGCAAAAGGGGTTTCCCCCCCCAAATGGCTTTTTGTTTGTATTTTTAATTGATTGACATTTTTAAAAAAGTGTGCTTTCATAATTACTTTTACAAAAAATTTTTAAAAATTTCCATAACTTTTCATGACCTTACAAACCCCTTTTTTGGCCAAATTTGTAAAGGCATACCCTTTCCCGGCGGCACTTTTTAAATTTTGGAAACCCGAACAGTATACGGGTCACCCCCAGTTCAGGCCCGGGAGGGCAAAAAACCTTAAACAAAACCGAATTGGGAAATAAATGCCCACTCCCCCTTGCTATTAAATGAAGTTTGCCAACTTCATTCTGTTTTGATAAAAATTTTTTCCCTTTGGGTGTGAGTCTGGGCCAACAAAAGGCTACATTTTTTTTATATAGGGGCGGTCCCAAATTTCCCAAACAAATTTGAAGTGCTGGAAAGGGGTGTTTAGTATGGCTTTCCGGACAGTGGGGAAAAAGGGCAAGAAGTAATTACCCCCCAATTTGCAACCCTAAGGCGGGGGTTTATGGGGCCCTCAGAAAGTTTAGTTCAATATCAGTCCCATTTTGGGCTCTAAACTTTTGGCAGTGATGGGCATGGAAAACTTTTTCAAGAGCCCCCAATGTCGGGGATCCAGGGGAGTCGACGGGACTCTGGGGTTAGTGATGCCCGGGTAGTCATAAAGGGTTTCCCAGCGTAGTTTCGCCCAAACCTTTCCCAAAAACAGGAGACCCAAGAGAGGGGAAGTCCCCCTTCCCCCCATTTTTCTTTAAGGGTCATCTTTTTTTTAAAAGGGACTGTTGCGGGGAGCACACCAAAAATTTTTTTTTTTCTCCCCCTGAGAGAAAATTGATTCCACTACTCTATACACTGAGGTACAAAACATTATGAACACCTGCTCTTTCCATGACATAGACCAGGGTTCTTCAAAGTTTTTCACACTCAACAGTTTCCTATGTGTATCAAGAATGGTCCAACCACTTAAAGGACATCCAGCCAACTTGACACAACTGTGGGAAGCATTGGAGTCAACATGGGCCAGCATCCCTGTGGAACACTTTCGACACCTTGTAGAGTCCATGCCCCGACGAATTGAGGCTGTTTGAGGGCAAAAAGGGGTGCAACTCAATATTAGGAAGGCATTCTTAATGTTTTGTACACTCATTGTTCACTAGTAGTAGCAGGGTCGGGGTCAATTCCATTTCAACAAAGTCCAATTCAAGATTGAAACTGAAATTCTAATTTTTTACTCATAGAGAAGCATAAAGTAGAATTGGAATTAGATTTGGAATTTCCGTTTACTTCCTAAATTGACTGAATTGAAATGGAATTGACACCAACCCTGGTAGTGAGAATAGTAGAGCCAATGATGGATTTCTCTATTCCGCTTTGAGTTACTATTGCTGTACAACTTCATATTACAATCTTTCTGTGTTCTCAGTGCTAACAGTCCTTTAGCAGATGCTCTTATCCAGAGCGACTTACATTAGTGCATTCATCTTAAGACAGTTAGGTGAAACAACAACGGGGGTGTAATTTGCCATCGACACATGGTGGATATAAACATTTATGGTCTAATAAAGTAGATAGTGGAGAGAAGCACTGACGTGGACAGAGCCATATTTTCAACCTTATCTCCTCATTCACCGCTGATGAATAGATGTGGCCATGTTAGCTATTGCTCTCCGTCCTCTGATTTGCATCGAGTTGTTTGTCATTGTGGCAGACTAGGGAGAGGCTGACCTGCAGACCCTGGTCTGGAGGGATGATTCCCTGGCTGTAGAGAAACAGATGCAGTCAGAGGATATGAATGAAGCTGTCAGGGTGGCTGGGGGCTAGGCAGGCTGCTGGGGGGCGAGAGCTGCAAAGGGGGTGGCTCGTGTGGGCACAAGGGAAGGTGGAGGAGGGTGGGGAGAAATTAAGATGTGAGCTCATCGTGAAATGCCATAAGAACAAGGGGACATGCAGGGGGACGGGAGGTTGATTGTTACTCTAAATGCCATGTTGCCTTTGTTGGTCTAGCTGACGCTGCTGTAGAGCAGGGGTTCCCAACCTTTTTTGGTTACTGTACTCCCAAATGAATTTTGCTCCGCCTGGAGTACCCCTGAAGTACCCGCTTATGAGCATTTTACCAGTAACCCTATGGACTTATGAGTCTTTTCAAGTACCCCCTCTGGATAGGCCAAGTATCCCCAGGGGTCCTAGTACCCCTGGTTGGGAACCACTGCTGTAGAGTGTTGTGAATTATACAACGGCTGGGTCTAATCCTTGACACTGATTGGTTAAAACTGCATTCCAGCCGATGTCTATTCCACAAGTTACCACCGGCTAAAGCCATGACATTGAAATGCCTATTTACACTGTTCCATCTCACTGCGCAATCCACTGTCTCATCAGCCCAGCCAGACAATTTATAAACTTGACCTCCACTGTAAAAAGCATCTAGACATTATCTTTTAGACTAGCAATTGGTTTTCAATAGTGGAGATTTGTATAAACCTTGCTGTCTGTCTATCTGACATTTGTAACACTGTTTCAATATTGAAATTTGATCTCCAGCTATCCCATAGTAATGAACTTGTAGGGGTCGCGAGTCGGGACAAGACAGACAGGCAGGCAGCTTTTCTCAGCCAGTCGAAATCATGAATCAGCATAATTTGTATGGATTTATACTGTACAAAGAAATGTCAATAGAAAACAGGTAAACGAAATCAAGTGCAGCTAGTTTGCAGTCTTTCCAGCTTCAGTTTGAAGTGATTCTGTTAGCTGTGTTGTTGGCTAGCTCCTCTGAACAACAGTGTCCTGACGAGAGAGCACATTTTCTATGGCAGGTGAAATCGCACATCATTAGCTCATTGTTATGGATGTATCCAAATAAATGTCACTAGAAAACAGCTTAAACAAATGCAGATGTAGCTACTTTGTTGTTATTCTGGCTGCACTGTTTGACGTGACTGTAAATTAGCCATAGTTGGCTAACTAGCAAGCAAGAACGTTGACAGCCAGTATGGCAATATAACATTTAGAACGATACAGAACAAAAATATTTAAATACTGTGTCACATCTCTGGGAACCGAACCGATAGAACGTAACAACCCTTGATTTGTTTCGGGCCTATATCTTGTGTAAGGATGAAATAGTATGAATAAATGTATCAAAATAACGTTTTTAATGAAAATATGTAAGTCATTATTTAAATATGGTAACCCATTGTATAATAGTGATAATGCCCTCGAAGCCTGTGTATGGAGGATATATTGGCATGGTTTGCCAGTACCAATATATCCTCCAAACACCAGCTTCTCAGGCATTATCACTTAAATATACTATGCCCCCCCCAAATATGTTTAAGATCTTGCCTGTTTCATCCACACATTGGTTGTCATCAGCTGGTTCTTCTCGTCCTGTAATGGAGAGACCATACTGTAAAGGTTTTATCAGTACCTTTGTGTTGTTATACTGTCAGTATGTGTGTAAATGTGGTACAGAGCAAACAACATAATGTAAATTAGCCTAAATATATGTATAGTGATATATTTTTTGCAGTGGTGTAATGTACTTAAATAAAACATACTTTAAACTACTTAAGTTGTTTTTGGGGTATCTGTACTTTACTGTTTATATTTTTGATTACTTTTACTTTTACTTCACTACATTCCTAAAGAAAATAATGTACTTTTTACTCCATATATTTTCCATGACACCCAAAATTAATCGTTACATGTTGAATGCTTAGCAGGACAGGAAAATGGTCTAATTCACACACTTACAAGAGAACATCCCTGGTCATCCCTACTGCCTCTGATCTGGCAGCCTCACTAAACACATATGCTTCATTTGTTAAGGATGTCTGAGTGTTGGAGTGTGCCTGGCTATCCGTACATTTAAAAAACAAGAAAATGGTGTCGTCTGGTTTGCTTAATATAAGGAATTTGAAATTATTTATACTTTTTCTTTTGATACTTAAGTATATTTTAAACCAAATACTTTTAGACTTTTACTCAAGTAGTATTTTAATGGGTTACTTTCACTTTTACTTGTGTCATTTTCTATAAAGGTATCTTAATAAAGTCCAGCTTGCATTGACAAACATCAAAATAATCATCAGGAAAACACAAATCACAATATACCATAATAATCATATTTTTCTCACCACGTCCACTAGCTGGGAGATGGCCAGTCCAAATCTGACCCGTACTGTGCCGTTGAGGTATTCTACAGGCCTCACCCATTTCGGGTAGTTTCTGAAGAGGTTCTTGAACAGTTTGTCCTCTGTCTTGGCATAGGAGGACAGTTTGTGGATTCCTATAGAGGCAGGGAAACATCACATTAGCCTTCCTTAAGCTGCATCATGTCAGCGACGTGTTAACAGGGGATATTATCCTGGTAACAACTGATGGCCCATGTTCAGCCCAGCTAAAGCACATTGACGATGATTCATAGTCCCTGGCTCCTGGCACTTTGTCAATAACCCCATCAATCTCCAGTTTAACATGCAGGAAATCACCCCAGCGCTCTCAGCAACATGACAATCACATCTCTGGTCCCTGTTTACCCCCAGACCAGGACCAGGCATTCACTATCTAGAGAGGAAGAAAGCTCACTGTCACTTTGTCAAGGCAACATAGTCAATGCCTTTTATTGATGATTTGGTGTTTTCCATTGCTCATGAAAGGAGACAAAGGTCAAGTGTGTCCTTCCTGTTAGAATTCTCTGCAAACTAGTATGTTTGATCAGATATGTTGGTGTTTACAACAGAAGTGTTATTTTATTTACAAGGAGGATTTTTGAATAATATGTTTTATTGTATTTTTCCCTCAAATGTATCCTCCTCTTCCTCCCTGGACGAGACTACTCTGCTGCCAATACAGAGTGGTGCTTCATCCCAAGTAGGCCTATAAACAATCTAACAGTGATTAAAGGTTAGAGTCACTTGGCTGGGGTTCAGGCAACAAAAGGCTGTCCAAACCTTCAAAAGCTGATGAAGGTTTTGCACAGAATAAACTAAAGATAGCAGCCAGGGTTGCATTTGTGCTCCAATTTACTCCGTAATTGATGACTCACTGTCAGCGGGTTGCATAGACATGGAGAGATTAAATTTGACTCCATTGTTCAATGTGTGTGATGCCACCACCAGTGTCAAGTGGGAAGGCTTTAATAGTGTAGGCTGCCAGTCTGCCTCCCTCCATCATCCAACACCAATGCATTTCTTCCTATCAGCTCTGTTTTATTTGGTCTCTCTCTCTGTAAATACTCAGTCAGTCATCCCCCGCTCTGTTCTAATTTAATTTGACTCAGTGTGTTTTCTATCTGGATTATGAGGAACGAAGCCCCAATGAGTTTTACTCTCCATAACTTCATTACAGATGGGTCTGATGTTGTGACTGTGGTTGATGGATACCTCATTGTATCAGTGCATCAGCTGGCCTCTGTGGCATGCTGGTATCCATGGCAGCCTGGTGTTGTAGGCCCCTAGGGGGGTTGATGATGGAGAAAAGGGCTGGAGGATGGAACCTTAGATAGAGGAGGCTTTTTATGTGTGAAGGACACAGTGAGGTCTTTGTGCCCCTTAAGGGCTAGCTGGGTTTTTAGAGAGAGAGAGAGACCGGAGGTGCACCTTCCATATTAAAGACATCAGCTGTCACTCTAGTCTACATACAACTGCTGACTGGGAGGAAAATCTGGAGTTAGCCTCTGTAAATGCAGAATTAAGCAACAGCAATTTTCAGGATGAATTTATTATATTCAGCACTTTAGTTCAAACGAAGGATGTAAGGTTGCTGTATTATTGTTGGAAACAGGTCTCCAGCGCAGGGAGAAAATGAAGAAGTATCAATTAAATTCTTGAGGGACACAATGCTCTTAAATCATTCCCCACATGCTTATGGGCTTATTTTATGTGTGTTCAATATGGATGTAAATTTACCTGAAGATGACAGGCCCATGGCGGGGCTGACTACAGTTAACACCCCAGTGTCATCCTCAGGCTCAGGATCAATAGCATCATTCTTAGACCTCCTCAGTCAATATCACTGTGATTAGCAGATTCATCATCCTTAGACTTTCTCTCTCTCATGCTCGGCACAACTTCATGCAGAAGATTCTGCTGCATGTCTGGCTTCTCTGGGAGATTCTGAACACTACCCTTTGTGAAAAACAATATAAATATGATCCAACAATGTGTCATATAACACCTACAGTACAACCATCACACCATCATCAATTGTAAGTAGTAACTTAGTAACTAGCTAAGTAAATAAGGTATGTATGCATTTAATTGAGTAAATACAACTCGTGCAAAATCTCTTCTGCAGTTGGCTCTGATGTCCTCCATTAGACCAACACCAGCAAGCATGCTGAGAACCACAGGACACTATTAATTTAAACTGAGCAAAGATATCCATATCAAATCAGAGGGGAAGAGTCTGCACAACTGGAAAATCCTCACAGAGCAAGGGCATCATAGTTGCTTCATTAGATTTTTGTAATGGAGCAACAATTCAGCATGAATTGTCATGATTGAATGATAAACACAATCTGAAGACCACTTCCCAACCCTTTACGATATCTGTAATCCAGTGTATAGATTGTGTTAGAAATGCTCAATAGGTGTATCTACAATTAGTATAACCTGAGTGTGTAGCCAGTCAGGCATTACTCCAGTCTATCTCTCCAGAGGATCCCTGGCTGTGTACTGTATTGATGAAAGATATGAATATTTTATTTGTCATCTTGAAGATCTGGGGTTTACAAAAACACCCCAAGAGATGGCAGATTAAAATATGTGATCTTACACATCTCCTATCCCTCCTCTGCAGTCCACACAGCCCATGTCATTAAACCCAGCCCGCTAACGAAGGACAGAATTTCATATGAGGAGCTCCATTAAATGTTTCCATTTTAGCTATTTAGCAGACGCTCTTATCCAAAATAATTTACAGTCAGCGACTCAAAGTCAGTGCAAGAATCAATCCTGTTTTTGCACAGGCTGGCTGGCAGGGAGGAGGCAGACGTGGAACTATCTGGACTGTCCAGCTTATATTTCTGCTATTGACTGGACAGTTATTAGAACTCTGAGGTTCTTTACCCAAATGGTTAATAGAGACATTTCTTCCCTTATTCAGCTCATCTCCTCTCCCAGCTGAACAGAAGGTCACCAACCACAGGAAATTACTGCACTATGCCAGACAGGGTTGCATATCATTGATACTTAATTAACTGAGAGCAGGAAACCAAACCACTCACCTTCATAACAAATGTTGGCAAAGTCTCTGAGACCATACACTTTGATTACAAATCTACTTAAAAGGGAAATTAGGTCTGGATAAATTGAGTGGTCATACTGACATTACTCAGCCCATCTGTTAATGATCATCCCTCATAAGTTCCTCTTTTAATGTAATATTAAAGTCTCAGCTGGCGTAGCTCTTCACTATATCCCATCCTCAACTGGTGTAGCCTCTTCACTATCTCCCATCCTCAGCTGGTGTAGCCTCTTCACTATCTCCCATCCTCAACTGGTGTAGCCTCTTCACTATCTCCCATCCTCAGCTGGTGTAGCCTCTTCACTAGTGTGCCCTCTTCACTATCTCTCATCCCCCCCAACTGGTGTAGCCTCTTCACTATCTCCCATCCTCAGCTGGTGTAGCCTCTTCACTATCTCTCATCCCCAACTGGTGTAGCCTCTTCACTATCTCCCATCCTCAGCTGACGTAGCCTCTTCACTATCTCCCATCCTCAGCTGACGTAGCCTCTTCACTATCTCCCATCCTCAGCTGACGTAGCCTCTTCACTATCACCCATCCTCAGATTTTCCATCTGCCCTCCCGCTCATCTCCTTCTCATCCTGTCCCAGTAGATTATCCAAGTTGTGCAGAGTGGGCATCTGTCAGTCTGATAACGTCTTTGATGGCCCATCACTCTGAGAGTGTCTTCCATGTCCTCCACTGTGGTACTGTAGGGAGAACTTACCCAGGGAGTGACACAGGTGGCAGAAGCAGTATGACAGCAGCAGGATTAGAGTGGTGGCCGCTGGCCCAGCTCTCAGCATGATATCAGAGGGGGCTCCAGATCCACACAGCCAGGGAGCAGTCCCTTAGGCAACCATGACTACAACACAGCTGGAGCCTATGAAAACACTGCAATATAATCACAACAGTGCACAAACAGAGGAAGTTATGGGACATCAGTATAGATACCTTACATGTACACACAAACATGAATACAGACACATACTGCATACACACACATTTCATCTTACACATTACACACACACACATACACGTGTACATACACATTACACTCACCTGCTTGGATGTAGTGAACACACACAAACCTATCCACATTATGATCACAAACACACATACTGTGCATATCAGATCTGCATCCTCTCTTCCTATCATCCACTCAACACACAATCTATCCTAGATGCAGCGTGAGAGTCCAGACAGTGTGTCGACAGACAGACAGGCAGCACTACTCTCTAGTATTCATCCACTCCATGCAGCCCTGCTCCCCTACCTCAGCTCAGACAGACGATGCTTCAGTCCCTTGCTGCTGCCTCTAAATGAACGGTAGCACACTCTCTCCTCCTTTTCCTCCTCCTCCTCAACCTCCTCCAGAAAGCCAGCCCCTCTCTCTCCCAGAAGAGTCTGATCCCTAATCATACAAGGGAGCTTCCCCAACAGCACACTGCCTGCAGCCTGTAACCTATCCACAGCCAACTGTCTACACTGCAAGCCCTGCCCCAGCAGCTCTACCTACAATGATCCAGCACACTGCTATTGTTCTCTCTCGTTCTCTCTCCATAGACAGTGGCTAGCAGCGAGGCTGCCTCAGCCATACGTCTTACTAAGGTAGCTTCAGACTGTTGCTTCAGGTTAATGGCAGGGTTAATAGGGGTGGAGGAGCATGTGTGTATCTGTATGTGTGTGCTGAGAGCTTGCCTAATATACAGCATTCATACCCCTGATACTAGCTGGAGCACCTGTGGGATGAGAAGATTTAGATTTTGAGATGTTATTTTGTGAATGTGTGTGTGCGTATGTGTGTGAGCCAAATAACTCCATCATGTCTATGATGCATTGTCTCACATCAGATAGCCCGACGGCCGTCTCCACTGATGGGTTGAGGGACGAGCGTCGCGTAGGAGTGACGCCATCTGGCGTGAGACATTGGTCTATGATGATGATGCCTTGTGAGAGTGACAGCAAATGGAAAATGCTGGAAGGGAAAAATCAATCTCTTCTGCCTAGCCCCTGGGTCATGGTGCGTGTGGAGAAATGGTTATATGGTGCAGCCAGACACCCACTCCTTTCCTCCTCTCCCCTCCTCTCCCCCTCTTCTGGGAGACATGATAATGGTGGCTTGTCTATTACTCAGCCCTGTCTCCCTCTCCCATTAGACTGAGCTTGCTATGGAAACACTGTAACTACATTAGCCTGCAACATACTCTCCTTTGTCCACATCTCTTTCTCTATGTGTGTCTCAGTCTTGTCTTATTATTCATTTGTGTCTTAGTTCATTGGTATTTTCATGTTGGCATAACAAACCTGTGGAAAACATTGGCTAACACTTTGTTTGAATTTATAATGTTTTTATTCAAGCTTGGTTTGTTTTTATTGAATGAAAGGTTGAATAATGTAATGTACATCTTTGCTAGGTTCAAAGAAAGCACACAGACTGTAGACTGCATCAAATGCAGAGGAAAAAGTTCAAAACCAAAGCAGTATTTAAAAAACGAATCGACACAATAAACATGCACCTAGCTGTACAGTATTAATATCCCCTCTTCTACCAAAAGGGCAGATAAACCACATGTTCTGTCGTGTCATTTCAGATGTCATATACTACTGTATAGCACTACTGTATTTGTAATGACAAAGTATACAGTATCATGGTGTCCTCTCTGTTTATTTTTTTAGCAGACAGTAGACAGGGTCCTGTTTCCTTCTTTGTTTTGGTCACTTTGGCATAGATGTCAGTTTCACCCTGCTGTTCTGGTCTTTCCACTGAGGGGAGAGGTTGGTAGATTTAGTCAAACATGTTGGATACTGTATGTAGAGAAAGTTAACTGAGTGTTCTGAGAATGAAGTGTCTGTGCAAAACCAAATCATTACAGTTAAGTGTATCTTTATATAAATATACCTCAGACACACTGTGGTTTGAGTTGTGTGTTATGTTATGAGTCGTTGCTCACGTTGCCTTCCTCTGTCTGCAGGCCTGTTGGTCTCTGTGTGCATGTGGTTAAAAATTCATCAACCTGTGTAGTATGTGGTTACGTGTGATGTTCAGGGCTGCCTCTACGTCAGTTTAACAGACAACAGATAAAAATAGGTATCATGTGAACCTACCTTTGTAACCCATCAGACAGTACATGTACATATATTATTTTACTTGTTTATTTTTTAGTACCCACCTCTAGTTATTACACTGTACAGTGCCTCATCTCCTGGACGATCAGTTGGAGAGCTACAGAAACAGAAAATGTACTTCAAACTCATACATTTAAATATGTAATTAGAGAAATATCAACAATAAGCCTCATACATTTCCTTGATACTGAAGGAAGAGTAAGAGCAGGATTCAGACTTACTGATGAACATCCGATCCCATGCCTGCTGGGAATGAAACAGAGATCAGTTCTATGTATTGTAAAGGCTAAGGGACTCCAGAAAAGAGAGGAACAACTATGACATTGCATACATACCTGACACACCTTCTGAACCCAAGGGCTCAGGACTCCTTCTGTTTAAGGGAAATATTACAGGCATATATAATTTATCATTTGTTATATATCATTTATCATTTATGCATATTGAGTGTGGGAAATGCACTTTACAAATTAAATATTATTATTATTATTTGTGTCATATCTTGTGTTATTTACTGGTATAGGATTTCGAAATAATGTAGTAGTTACTTGTCACGTCTACTCCCGCTCTCCCTCTCCGGTGCTCGAGGTCACCAGTTCACTCATCATTACACACACCTGCCACCATCGTTAAGCGCACCTGCGCTTAATTATGGGACTCCATCACGTCATTGATTACCTCCCCTATATCTGTCACTCCCTCAGGTTCATTCCCCAGTCAGCATTGATGTTATGTTTCTCATGTCCAGACGCAGGTCTTGTTTTGTTCTATGTTTATTTATTATTACACCCTGTACTTACTTCTCATCTCCCAGCGTCTGCGTTACAGTTACTAAAATGTCTTACCTTTGTCGCCCTGATGATTTCAGTCCTGTATTAGAAATAATGTTTTTTAATAGTCAGATACAGTATATCATAAACCAAGGGCTTTCTCTGCTAGGTTATTATTAACCTCCTAGGGATTAGTGGTCACATACGTGGACAGCACTTTTTAGCTCTTATGTCCACAATTGTGTAGAAGTTCTGTCATATTTCATGGCTTATTCTGATTTAGATATTTATAAAAGCCTTGTATATTTGTCATGACATGCAAATTTAAAAAAAAAAGTGTAAAACTAGCAACTTTGTAGGTCGCTAAACATGAAGTACACGTAAGTGTACTTATGGACTGAGGCTCCTCGAAACAGCTAATATGCTTGTAAACATGCACACACGTAAAATGGGAAAAAAGCTAGCTCTGATGCAGCTAAAAAGCTGTACATGGTCCCAATAAAATAAATAACAATTAAATCACTAAATACATACATACATACTTAAATTAGTTGTGTTGAAAATGTAAGCCTAATGCAATTCGGACCATGAATCCACATATGTGGACATCATTTTTCTCTAAAAGTACATCATATCAAAAGATGATACTTAGTTTTTATTCTAATTAGGTTCCAATAAGCCCAAATAGCAAAGATAAATAAAAAATGCATGTAAAAAAACAGCTTGGGCCTTAAGAGGTTAATAATGTAATGATTAGACAAACTGTACCTCTCCAGTCACCTATCATGGAATAGGCTCCTTCATCACCATCAAGGGGGACCTCACTACTGAACAGACAAGACATTGACACCATTGTAAATAACTTACAGAAGCCATGGAAAAGGGAAATCATGTTAGACTATGAAAGGGTATTGTATGAAAAGTACCCTTAAGGAATGCATACTAAACCTATATGGTAACTTCATTGTTTCATCAAAGATACTGCATATCAGATATTTTCTGGACCAAAATAGGGAAACTAACCTAGGCCTATGACACTTTTATGAAAACTGTATAATCTCAATATTGTGGTGAAATTGCATAATTTTCAATTTTTTTAAAAATGCAATTGAAGAGAAACTTACATTACACCAGCTGCGACTAGAACATCCAGCATTAGAAAATCAAAGACAGAAAACATACAGTATAACTTAGTACTTAAAGAACTTCATTAAAAGAAATGAACAATATGTGATGCAAAATATGCTATGTTAAAATATGAACTGATATACTGTACCTGGAACAACTGAGATTAGACTGTAGGTTTGATCCGTATCCTGATTCTCACTAAGGGAAGAGTACAAATATTTTAACCCTGTCTCAACAATGTGGACATTGATAAATCAAGTAGTATTTTGTTTTTATATGGTATGCTTTCTGTACCTCGGTCGATGGTCACTGCTTATCACTGTAACAGAAAGCAACAGTAAGGAATGACTTAAACCATTGTGTTACTATACATAGACACTTAGTTTAACGTCAAGCATCTGTTCACTTTCCCCCACCATGTCACATAGCTAGACATGGGGATTGTAAGGCTGGGATTCAATAATATCTGCATTAGATCCGCGTTATAGCTCGCTTGACATTTAAAGGGAATTTCCGATTGAGCCCTCATCTGCAGCATTTTGTGAATGCGAACTGCTAGTGGACTAATCTACAGTTACAATATATAAACAAATATCTTGCTTAACTTGACTGTTTACAGATTGGTTTATCAAAATTCCAAATTCCACATAGCTTGCTTGACATTAAAAGGGAATTTCCGATTGAGCCATCATCTGCAGCGTTTTGTGAATGCGATCTCCGCGAACGGCGGGGAAAATGCCTTTAAAAGCTGAATTTTCGGCTGTCCAGCGCACTGTGTTAAGAATTTATTCCTGGCCTAAACCAAACAGAGACTGTCAACTTCACTTACTTTGTTTCAGGATCCCCCAGTACCTCCACAGTAACAGCAGTACAGACAGCATCAGAAACAGGAGGACCAAGGCTGCTGCCACTCTTGCTCCCACATTCTTTAGTCCCTCTGTGAAGACCATTGATATATTAGACTCTGGTGTACAGTAGAAGCTGGTGTTTTACTTGATGCTGAGTCTGAGTATATAGCCTATTTACAAAGCAATATATTGGCTGAAAATGTGTCTGAATGACAAATATTCAAACTGCACTGCAACAAATGGACAAATATACAGTATGGATAGCAATCTTATCATTACAAACATACATTATACACAAATATTGACAGAATCTTACCTTTCCATTCTCCATCAACCTTAAACACTACTAAATTCTCCCCTGTTGACGTCAATTGACTGGGTACGAGTTTATCTCTGCTGTACACACAGCTGTAGTTGCCTGAGTCTTCTCTTGTAACATCCTTCATGGTGAAAATGGTGTCATCTTCACCTTTCTCCAGCGTCGCAATTCTTATCCCAACTCCATTCTTGCAAAGGTAAACATGAACCTTGTCCCAGCTTCTTGGGATGCCAGTAGTGATACATTTCAAATCTACAGTCCCCCCTTCAGTCACATTAGATGGTCCATCGAGCTTTGCGGGGTAGATCTCTGCATGAAACAAAATACTAAATAAGGGGTGAACCCTAACTTCTACTTAAAAAAATCAAAAGCAGAACATTTGATTTAAGTGGAAGTAAAAATGTGTACCTAAGTGTAAGTTGATTTAGTATTAAGAATGTAATTTGTGGTTTAATAGTATATACTGTATTTTAGCGTCTGAAGAAAAAATACTCAACCACGCAACAAATTGATAAATACTGAATGTGCACAGCAATCCACTCACCATTATTTCTAATCATTACAAACATACACACACATTAACAAAAGCTTACCTTCTTCTCCATAGACCTGGATGACTACTATATTCTTGCCTGTTGACTTCACTTGATCCGGTATAGGTTTATCTCTGCAGTACACACAGCTGTAGTTGCCTGAGTCTTCCTTTGTAACATCCTTCATGGTGAAACTGGTGTCATCTTCACCTTTCTCCAGAACCTTCATTTTCATCCCAACTCCATTCTTGCAAAGATAAACATTAACCTTGTCCCAGTGTTGTTCCAGGCCGACAGTGCTACATTTAAAATCTATATTACCCCCTTCTCTCACCTTGAATGTTGGTACAAAGAGCCTTGCAGGGTAGATATCTGCATAGATCAAAATACTCAATAGTGAATAACTTCCAAGAATAAGTGGATGATAAACAGCTGTTTGTATGAATATAATTTAATTTGTGTTTTATGAGTACTCTATATACTGTAGATACTATATTTTGAAACATAACTACTTTACCTGTGTATTCAGATTTGGCAAGTTTGGATGCTGTGACTACTTGGAACAAGAATACTTGATTAAGTCCTGTTTCTCTATAATGCAGATGAGCTTTGTAAGATACTAGAAACAAGAAAATTAAAATAAATATTGCTCTTGATCATTTATATCATTCGAAAAGTAGAACATACTCACAGATCACAAGCCATGTGAGTGCTAATGCTGCCATGATGTATTGGCTGAGATTTTGTGTAGAGGTTTGGTTTCAGAGAAATACAATGTTGATGTGTTTATGTGGTCCTCTGTAGCTCAGCTGGTAGAGCACGGCGCTTGTAACGCCAAGGTAGTTTGTTCGATCCCCGGGACCACCCATACACAAAAAAAAATTAATTTATGCATGCATGACTGTAAGTCGCTTTGGATAAAAGCGTCTGCTAAATGGCATATTATTATTATTATGTGCCTTACATATGTAGGTTCATAACAGTAACCACACATTGTACGAATAATAAATCGGACTATAGCTGATAATGTTCCTCATATACTGAGAATGGATTCAACATTACTTTTGTAACAAAGCGCTCAATCCCTTCAGTTTCAGTTTCAAAAGTAGGAGTGTCATTAGAGCAATGAAGAGGTTCTGTTATATCCACAGCGCCATATGGCTAACTGCTACAGTTTCACATGTAGCTATACTGTAAATGACAAAAGACAAATAAGAGAAGAATTGCGCATATATCTTTGCAAAGACAAAAACTGTGTGAAATAAATGGCTATTAAAATGCTTTGCATGTCAGCAATGAAGTTTTGAAGAGACAGGCCAGATTTCTGTATTTTTTAAGTTGCATATCTTGAAAACTTGATTGATGACATGCAAAACATTTTGGGACTATATCAACAACGGACTAATGAAACAAATACCAAAAGATAGTTTTTGGGAAGAGTTTTCCTTCAATATACTGTAACACTCTGGCTCCGGGACTTTTGTATTTGAGCCAGGGTGTATTGTGTTTTGTTGGGTTTTGGGTGATTTTCTATGTTTGCATTTCTGTCACGTTTATTTCTAGGTTTGGTCATTGACTCCCAATCGGAGGTAACGAGTGTCAGCTGTCGGCTCGTTATCTCTGATTGGGAGCCATATTTATACTGCATGTTTTCCTGTGGGCATTGTGGGTTATTGTTCCTGTTTAGTCTTTGTCACTATTGGACTTCACATTCGTCGCTTTGATTTGTTGTTTTGTCGTGCTTTAACTTAATAAAGTACCATGTTCGTTTCACACGCTGCGCCTTGGTCTCCTTCACTCCTCGACGATCGTGACAGAAAAACCCACCATCAAAGGACCAAGCAGCGTGTCAAGCGGCAACAGGACCCAGCTCCAAAGGCTTCCTGGACATGGGAGGAGATTTTGGACGGAAAGGGGTCCTGGACTTGGGAGGAGATCCTGGATGGGATGGATCGCCGTCCATGGAGCGAAACGGTGGAGAGGCGACGGCGAGAGGAGCAACGGCGTCAGCAGGGCCATCGTCGGAAGGTCGAGAGGCAACCCCAAAAAGTTTTTTGGGGGGGGCACATGGCTTGGGCGGCTGGGCAGCGGGAGGCTGCCACAGGACTGACGGAGTCAGAGAAGGGGCGAATTCAAGAGGCAACCAGGTTACGGGGGTCACTGGCCAAAGTAGGGAAAGGAGATGTAGGGGCACGGCGAGTGGCACTGGGGTGTATTACCAGTCCGGTCCGGCCCGTTCCAGTTCCCGGGGTAGAGCCAGTGGTGTGTGCCTCCAGTACGGTCCGGCCTGTTACGACCCCTCGCACCAAGGATACGGTGCGCTTCGCCAGCCCGGCCCGGCCTGTTCCGGCCACTCGCACCAAGGATACGGTGCGCTTCGCCGGCCCGGCCTGTTCCGGCCACTCGCACCAGGGATACGGTGCGCTTCGCCAGCCCAGCCCGGCCTGTTCCGGCCACTCGCACCAGGGATACGGTGCGCTTCGCCAGCCCGGCCTGTTCCGGCCACTCGCACCAGGGATACGGTGCGCTTCGCCAGCCCGGCCCGGCCTGTTCCGGCCACTCGCACCAGGGATACGGTGCGCGTCGCCAGCCCTTTCCCACCAGTGCCTACACCACGCCCCAAGCCTCCGGTGTGTCTCCCGAGTCCTGTGCGTCCTGTTGCTGCTCTCCGCACTAGGCTTAATGTGAGTCCCCAGGGTCCAGCATGCCCTGTTCCGGCTCTCCGCACTAGCCCTTATGTGCGTTCCCAGGGTCCAGCATGCCCTGTTGCTGCTTCCCGCACTAGCCCTGAGATGCGTGTCCTCAGCCCGGTACCTCCAGTTCCGGCACCACGCATCAGGCCTACGGTGCGTCCCCAGGGCCAAGCATGCCCTGTTGCTGCTTCCCGCACTAGCCCTGAGATGCGTGTCCTCAGCCCAGTACCTCCAGTTCCGGCACCACGCATCAGGCCTACGGTGCGTCCCCAGGGTCCAGCATGCCCTGTTGCTTCTCCCCGCACTAGCCCTGAGATGCGTGTCCTCAGCCCGGTACCTCCTGTTCCGGCACCACGCACCAGGCCTACGATGCGCCTCAGACGGCCAGAGTCTGCCGTCTGCCCAACGGGGCCTGAACTGCCCGTCTGCCTAAAGCCTGCAAAGCCGCCCATCTGCCATGAGCCATCAGAGCCGTCCGCCAGACCAGAGCCGCTAGAGCCTTCCGCCAGACAGGATCAGCCAGAGCCTTCCGCCAGACAGGATCAGCCAGAGCCTTCTGCCAGACAGGATCAGCCAGAGCCTTCTGCCAGACAGGATCAGCCAGAGCCTTCCGCCAGACAGGATCAGCCAGAGCCTTCCGCCAGCCATGAGCAGCCAGATCCGTCGGCCAGCCATGAGCAGCCAGATCCTTCTGCCAGACAGGATCAGCCAGAGCCTTCTGCCAGACAGGATCAGCCAGAGCCTTCCGCCAGACAGGATCAGCCAGATCCGTCAGCCAGCCATGAGCAGCCAGATCCTTCAGCCTGCCATGAGCCGTCCAGCCAGGATCCGCCAGAGCCAGCCAGCCAGGATCCGCCCCTTAGTCAGGTACTGTCCCTTAGTCCGGTGCTGCCCCTTAGTCCGGTGCTGCCCCTTAGTCCGGTGCCGCCCCTTAATCCAGTGGGGTTTAATTGGGGGGTGGTCATGTGGAGGAGGCTAGGGAAGCGGGTGGTGACTAAGGTGGGGTGGGGACCACGACCAGGGCCAGAACCGCCACCGTGGACAGACGCCCACCCAGACCCTCCCCGAGACTGTATGCTGGTGCGCCCGGAGTGCGCACCTTTAGGGGGGGGTACTGTAACACTCTGGCTCCGGGACTTTTGTATTTGAGCCAGGGTGTATTGTGTTTTGTTGGGTTTTGGGTGATTTTCTATGTTTGCATTTCTGTCACGTTTATTTCTAGGTTTGGTCATTGACTCCCAATCGGAGGTAACGAGTGTCAGCTGTCGGCTCGTTATCTCTGATTGGGAGCCATATTTATACTGCATGTTTTCCTGTGGGCATTGTGGGTTATTGTTCCTGTTTAGTCTTTGTCACTATTGGACTTCACATTCGTCGCTTTGATTTGTTGTTTTGTCGTGCTTTAACTTAATAAAGTACCATGTTCGTTTCACACGCTGCGCCTTGGTCTCCTTCACTCCTCGACGATCGTGACATATACAAAAAAAGCATTATACACTTGAATCTTAAGATGCATTATACCAATAAACAAACTGTATACATTCTTAAGCATTCTGTCAATATATTCTGAATGAATTCCTTCATAGTGAATGTCACTACCCCATAGCATCAGGTAATGTTACAACAAACTTATAGCAATTAAAGCTAAAAACAGTACTATAAATAGCCATTGAGCAAAGTAACATTGGTATTTGATTGTAGGTTGCTCATTCATTTCCCACATTTTCTCGAAAAAGGCTGGCCCTGTAAAGCTAATTTTCCCCTTAGGGTCACCGTCATATGTGACCGACCAGCTCGATTCAGTCTTATGTAGCAACATTTGAAATTGTGTTTTTTACATTGGATAAAAGTAGAGACTCAGAGCTAGAACATGCTTTATCATACACTGCTGAAGAGGAACAATGGGAAAGTCATTCTGCTTTGAAAGTTGATAAACTTGTAACCCCACTTTTGAGAAAATGGCCCGTGAATGTTTTTTTATAACCTATGTGATTGTTTACACACACATACTGTATCAGATATCACACACATAGCAGTATTATTGCAATGAGTATTCATCTTGAAAGAGAACCTGTGCATCTATGGTAAATGCTCACTAATGCAGCAGCTTTTAGGAATCAGTGACTTTATTGAAACTGGACATTTTCTATGATACGATGGTCTGATTACAATACAATAATTTGCAAATAAAATCATAAAAAATCCTACAATGTGATTTTCTGGATTTTTTTCCCTCATTTTGTCTGTCATAGTTGACGTGTACCTATGATGAAAATTACAGGCCTCTCTCATCTTTTTAAGCGGGAGAACATGCACAATTGGTGGCTGACTAAATACTTTTTTTCCCCACTGTATTTGTTCAATCAATTACTATGGATTACTACTTTATCATCTTCTTTGACTTTCTAGTACACTGCCACATTGATAGCTGTATCACTAAAGTTAGAGAGTAGAGGCTGTGGGATTCATATGTAGTGACTAATGGTGTAGGTAGGGTATCCACTGAAGTGGATTTTTGAGTCTGTTTTAGCTAGGGCTTTGTAAGCCATTCTGTTTTTCAACATTGTGTTGGGTGTAATTACATTGATATATCTAGTGAACAACGGATAAGCAACAATGGGCGTGACGGATAGAAGTAGTCACTACAGGTGTGATCAAGCCTCTCATCAAAGTTGCC